ACAAACAAAGTCGAGGGGGGCGTCCGGGCCATCCCTAGACAAAACCAAACGAAAAGGGAACTCCCCAAATGCGAAATGGGATGATATATATATATATATGTATATAAACTCGGCATATTCGACCTTTAAAGGGGAAAAGGTGCCCTGGAAGGCACAATAGCACATTGATTCGAACAAAAATGCACGCGGTGGTTGATGAAAAAAGGTCCGATATACATGGATGACCATTGTTTGGTTGGGCAGCCACCAAAAAGATTTGGTATGTCAAACACATGGGAAAAAATAGCCATGGTCAAAACCGGGTGCTGAGCGGAATATTGATCAACCCCGAAATGCGGCTTGTGAGGAGGCCTTTCCTTTGGTCTCTCCCGTTTGAAACAGGTGTGCCACAAAAAAAGACCACCAAGGGTGGGCAGTGCGGCATCCAAGGGACGCCATTTTGGGGGGCAGCCAAAGAAAAGTGGTGTCTGGTGTCTGGTGAGACTTGGAAGCCTCGCAGAGTTTTCAACCAGTGTTGGTGCACTGAAAGCACCCCTTCATGGCCTTCATGGTGGAAGTCTGGTAAGTGTACCCCACATCTCGACAAAGAAGATGCGAGATTGGTGTTGCAAAAAAAAACACTGACCACCACAAGATCCACAAGCCGTGCTTTAGGGCCTCGATGGCTCAAAAGTGAATGCTCCTCCAGGTAGCTTTTAATGGGAACCCATAGGACGCCCCCAGTGTTGGAAACTCGCCCCCTGCCTTTGCTTTTTTGGAGCCACGCAGTCAACGGGCATGCGCGTTTTTGAAGGCTCTTTGGTACGGATGGAAATTCGCAACCAACACGAAGATGTGGGTGTGTCTTTGTTTAGGCAACAACCAAACTAGTGTTCGTTTTGGGTGTCCCTTCCAACATCGGGTACCCCGGAAAAAAGCAGACACCCTGGTTGCCATTTTTGAGGGCTGGCACACCATGTGCGTTTCGCAAGCCCAACATGTCGCTCACGGAGGCCGCGAGGGCGGCATGGCTCCGAGTTAAAAAACAAAGAGACCAGCGACAACCTCAGTGATATGACATGACCCAATTATCACCCCAACTTTCTGGAAAACGGGTTTGGATTTGCGTTTTCTGTCGATTCCGGCTGTTCTTCCCCCTCTTGGCCATTTTAGTACTCTGTTAATACTCGTTTCATGTTCTGCAGGGGTGGATCCACAAAGGCCGCATCCAAACCGTTTTCTTGAAACTTGCCTAGCAGGGCCTAGCAAGTGCCTCGCCTTTCAGTTTCAGTTCTAATGGTTCGAACCTGTTCCAGTGCAGGTCACGAGCTCACTGCGGGTTGAAGCTTGCGGGTCTCTTGAGCCTATGTACAGCTTGAACTCCCGTGAGGGACATAGGGAGAGGTCAGCATCCAAACCAAACGCTGGTAGTGAACATGTGCACGTTAGTACGTCATTGCTTGGTTGTCTTGCGCTCGTCTGGTTCTGGTCTATCTATGTGACCCATGTCGTATCCATTGTCTCTATTGGGTCCATTTGCAGATCACAGAAATGGCAGTGAAAGTTTCTGGCTTGACCTGTGGCGTACCGGATGCTGCCCCACCCCAGTGTGTCATCTCGCCATGTTCGCAGGCAACGACTTCCGAAACGAAACCCGGCGATCACCGCAGGCGGCAACAAAACCCCAAGACCTGCTCTCTGCCGGCAAAACAGAGGAGCTTCTCTAATCTGAGCATCAGATCTGAGCGGTGGCCGCAGTCTGTCACATTCTACCTGGAAAACGGCTTGATGTATGCCACTAAGCTCACGCACATAAACGCCCAGGTCTGCCAGATGCGGTAAGTGGACTGATCCGAGCATTTAACAATTGCCATTCCATCACTTCGCGCACAATTCCTTGCCCAGCATTTGGAGAAAGACCCGCTGCAAGCTATGGAATATCACCATAGGCAACCTGTCCTAAACTGACACAATGAGGCAGCCCAACGATATGAGTCCTAGTTTAAATCTCGGATGGCTGCAAATGGACAGCCCAAAACCACCCAAAAAACTGACCCGCCCACCCACCCAAAAAACAAACATAAACAAACACAAGCGCAAACAAGACCAAACCAAAATAACAACTCTTTTTAGAGGTCCCTTTTCAGACATTCCCCATCTTGCCACCAACTCAGCACTCCAAGTGCACTCGTCCTTGCGCAAGGCATCGGTACCGAGAGATCCACAAGTTGCTTCTCAGCAAGCCATGGGTGTGTGTCTGTCTCTGTGTGTGGCTCTACTGCATCTTTTGACGGGAAAGATATCACCAGTCCCTGAGAAAGGTCTAAAGTCTGTGGCTGGCAAGCAGCTTCCATGGATCTAAGGCACCAGTCGCCGGACGGCCCAACTCCCTTCACATCTCCCCTTGTCAAGGGAGGCAAAACTTGCAATCCGCTGCCCGCCCCACCGCCGAAAGCAGAGGAAAGACGCCCGGTTTGGGAGCACACATGTTGGATTCTCGACTTGGTTCGGTAGGCAGGGAACGACAAATGGAATGAGCCCTGCGAACCGTCCCCGATTTGGTTTCCTCTAAGGGAATCCCCAAAACCGGTTCATTCCCACCCGAGTCCCTGGTCATTCCCTATCACAACGATCGCAAGGCGAAACCTCACGGCTCTCTGGTTGCGAGGCTGGCCTGTGAATTCAGATTTGCTTCCGTGAAGCTGTGTACAAAGGCTCCGACACTTCGCACACCACTTGTGTCAGAACCACGCTACACGCCCCCAAAACGCGTCCGGCCGCCTGCGCCGCGGGGCCTGCGTTCTTGAAACCAGGCGAAACCATAAAGCGCCTGGACATCTCGAGTGTGTCCTGATGAAATACATAATACACTGGAACATACTGAACAAATGACAAACAAATACGAGCTCAAAAAAAGAAAAAGCGACATCTGAGAAATCAAAACCCGGTACAAAAATGGTGCACCCAGAAACATGCTTCAAGAAAGGCGGATATCCGATCCCAGCTCTTTCTGGTTGGGATCACGGTTTTGATGGCTCTGGCTCCAGGCCCGGAGCTGTGGATCTGTCATGTGTTCTTTGTTTTTGTTTCTATCGACTTTGCTTTGACTTGTTTGCATAAGTGGCTGTGGCTCAAAAAACCGTACCCAGAATGGCCATGGAGAAAACCCCGCGTAACCCCGGCGGTTGAATTTTGAGCCACATCCAAGTGGAAGCACACCTCGGGCGTTCCACCACAAAGATACCGGAAAAAAAAGGAAAAAAAATCGGGGCTCCAGATCCTGAGCTGCGCACAGGTCTCGCCTTGTGTGTTGACTTTTTGGACCACTCCTTTGGTTCTTTGAATGGTTTTGACTAAAACAAACAAGGTCCGTTGGCTTCTCATGCTTGAAACAAAAAAACGAGTTTTCCATCCAGCAACCAACATGCCAGACCCCATAGCTCCGCCAATCAAGTTTCAATCAAGGTCGTATTTGGAATTGCGGCTCTGCTTAAATTCGTTCTTAATGTAGGCATGTCCCATGTTGCTTTTGTGAAACGCATGAGGAGTGTCCGTGTCCACACAATGCAAAGAACCTTCAGTTGTCTAAAAACCAAACAAAGCACAGTCTTAACAAGGAAAAGTGTAAGTAGGTTGCTTTTATCTTGAGCCAAAACTTTAAGTATTGATTATTTGTAAAAACTGGTTTTAATTGAAGCTTAACTTGGTTTAAGATGGAAGCTATTGAAGAAAAACAGACTTCTTGTTTCTTCTAATTGGCCTGCCCCTTAAAAGCGACTAAACAAACAATTGGAAACTGAAGGAACGAAACTGAAGGAACGTGACGTTTCACTTCTTTCAACTGTGATAAATGCAACTTAATGTGATTCTCTCCGTACTTGGATTCTTATCAAATGTTCATCAAACTCCTTTGGAAGGGACTCCCCATTAAAATGTTAATTTAAGCACGATGGGCATTCTAATTGGAGCATGTCCGCATTTATTCAAGTCAATCCATGTAACTTCTAATTGGATCTTGATCGAACACATATTTGGAAAGGAGCTCACATGTACATTATAATCTAAGGACATAACAACATGGTATTTAATCTGCAACTTGCAAAAGCTGAATTTAGGGATCCCCAAGTCAAGGACCTTTATCATGGTGAGCTCGTTATACCCTCGGCTTGCTATACAAAAGGCAGATTTAATGGGTTTGTTTCCCCAAAAACGCAGGCCTCACGGCGTCCAGAGCTCCAGTCGCTTCCGCGCGTTGTAGCTTTTTTTTGTGGCGGAACGCGCTCATGATTCTTTAAGCGCGCGCAACCCGCCTCCTTTCGTCGGCACGGTTCAAAAGAGGGAACATGAGTTTGCCTCATCAGCATCGCCCCCCTTCTTAGGGGTCAAAAGCGGCATCTCGGCTTTCCTTTTGGCTGCCCTTTGCAAAACCAAACAGGCGCACCCTCACCAAAAACAACCCTCGGAGCGTAAGCATCTGAAGGCACATTGAAAACTGCTGGTGCCAAGGCGACCTTTTGCCGCCCTTTGGCCTTGGCGCCAAGCCGTGTGAAGCCGAAAACCGGATGAGCCTCTTGAAAGCCCTGGTGTCGTCTTCATCCCGATGTTGTCCGACTTACTGCCTTGGCCTTTTTGCTCGCATGCCGACATGGCTCAAAATTGCAGAGCTGGGGTTACGCAGGTTTTGGTCTTTGCTTCCCTAGGGGCCCAAAAAACGGGTACTACTGTGGATGGACGAAATCCTGCACCACCTAAGAAACCCTGGAATGATGATTCCCCTGTAAATACCAACGGACAACGGTCTCCCATGGCTTCAAAGTGGTGCGAAATGGAATTCGTCCATCCACAGTACCTTGTTGAGCCACAGCCACATTGCCTGTCCTATTTCTGAGGGCCTCCCCTTCTTTTTTTTGGCTTTAGAGAAAAACCAAGAGGTCAGACCCGTTGCGCCATTTTTTTTTTGGGGGGGGGGGTCCAAAATCCCAAAAAAAAGCGTGGCGCGACTTTCGGCTGGGGCGAGGGCCTCAACACGGGCTTGGAGCAGTCGGTACCTCCCGACAGTGACATGGAAACTTGTGGGTTCAATGGAAATGGCTCTGGGTCAAAATCCAAATCGTACCCCCAGTGAACATCCCAATCCCCACTAAAATAGACGAAAATGGGTGGTGCCCCTACCCTGACAAGGGAATTGGAAGAGAAATGAGGGATGTCATGATTGTCGGAGTGGAGACTGAGGCTCTAGTGTTTAGTGGTTGGATTTCCATTTGGCTGTGGGTCAAAACCAATGGTACCATTGCCAGAGTCCCAGAGTGTCACCCTTTTCAGATCGCTTTCAATGGAAAACAGGAAAACCAAAATCCACTTACATACATTGGCCGTGGCCCTGTCTTCCAGTCTTGGCGTCCATGTTTGTTGGATCCGCCCCCCAAAAAACGCAGGCCACGGGAAATGATGTCCAGGCAGTTCGCGCAACTCGCGGTGTTTGGCAGAAAGAAAGTCTCCAACTGCTGGTTCCAACCCCCCAAAATAAGCCAAAGACGAGCCACCCATGTGGCTGTGGGTCAACATTCAACCACCAGGAATTGGAGCGCAGGTGTTGGTTCATATTGCCACTTCCCAGGGCTTGCGCCATTTTGGGGTTGCCCTATTGACCACCACAGCCATGTGGAGAACAACAGCTTCTGTGCCTCGCGGCTCGACGCGAAGACGCCCCGCCTGGGTCGCGGCTTCCAGGTCCGCGGGTCCGTCCCAGGCCACCTGAGTCGCGGTTTTTGAAACCCGAAACCCGAGAGGCGTGTGGTGCGTGGATCGCATACCGACCTCGTGTCTTCGTTGCAATAAATTTGGACCCCTAAATGGATTCGGCGCTCCTTTTTGGTTGTCCATGGAACAATAACAATAAAAAACAACAACAAACAAGGGGGTGCCCTAAGAAAAAAGACAGACCCCTTTAGAATCGAGGCTTCTGTGGGCTTGACTACAATCTTCATTTGCAATTTGACAGGTCATGCTTTTGGCTCTGAGATCAGGCGCCTCATCGGCGGATTACCAGAAGAATCGCCTAGGGCCCAGGGCCTAAAATCTAGACGCATGGAAATCATCCATGGCTCCAGTGGCCCAAAGAGAGCTCCAAGGAGCGCCCAAAGGCGCCACGCCACCATCAGCAGCCCCTGGGTTGATCCAAAAGGTCCTTCACATGAGATGACCATTGGGGGAAACCACTAGAAAGACAATATGCCGGGAAAAGTCACCCATGGTCACTTGGGGGCCAGGAATATTGATCAACCCCCACGTCCTTCCCTGGAAATCAAATGTTTCACCAAACAGGCCCTTGATATTTTCAAGCCGCGCCACCGTCACCCTATCTCCGCAGGTGTAGAGCGTGATGGCGGGCACCTCATGCTCAAGCCGCCCTGGCAATGCTTAGTGCGTCTTTGAGGCTATAAGTCTGAGGCCACCCTGATCTTGGTTCAAAAAATCAAAAGCCCAACATGAAAACAAAAACGTTGTGGCGCGGGCGCGCCCGAAAACTCTGACACCGACCCCTCGAGATCGCCTCTCGATCTGCCCGAGACTTCGAACTGGAGCCTCAGGCCCAGAGCGGCCGCATCTTTCTGTCCTGGCGACGTCCCGTCCGCTGTTGCCGTGGTCAAACACTTCGGAGCTCGCTGAGAAACGCGTTGCGCTTGGCGCGTTTGGTTCTGGGTCCCAAAAAGGACCCTTTGGTGGTTAGAGGGCTTCTGTGTAACCACTCTTGAGCATTGTCCTTTTGATAAAAATAAATAACACTGGTAAATGATTAGAAGCACCAAACTGACCCATCAAAAAGGCCACCTATACCCAGAAGAACCCCCCCAAACTGCGGCGCCTGGCTGCCCCATCGTGGTACCCACCTCACTCGCGCATGACATTGCGAGCCAAGCCAAGTGTCAAGAAGATCAAGGACCTCACATCACTGGGCTGCCCTCAAATCCCCTGCTAAAAGTTTAACTTTTCGTGGCTTCGTGAAAACCACCACCAAACCCTAAAAGGCAGAAAACCTAAGCAACCGGATGGCTGGGAACCACCAGGATCATTGCGCTCAAGATGCAACTTGGGAGGTGGTTGCGGGCTGGAAAATGAATCATGGGGGCCACGAAGCAGAGAAGCGTCAGTTGTCGCGACATATGGTATTTGTTGCGCTGGCTTTGCAGGGCCGCAAGGTCACTGTCCCAAGATCCGGGACAAAGCAGCACAGTCCCCGCAAGAATCATGGCTTCATGTTGGGCAACACACCCATACCATGAGAAACCTGTCCCATACGGCTTCGGCCATTCGGGAATCACTCCCACGACGAAAGCCAAACCCAAGAGACACGTTGTGTGATCATTAGAGTCTGTCCTGGCGGTCGAGAATCCTCATCTAGGTCCAGTAGAGAGGTTAGAATAAGGGTACCCTTTTTTTCAGTAGTCTATTTTAGTAGGGGAACCCTCCCCCAGAAAAGGGGAGAGAAGGGCACCACTGGGGTGCCAAATAGCTCAGGAAAGTCGGGGCTCCAAAGTGGCAAGGCAGGCCCGGGAGCCTGGAACCCCGGCCACTGCGCCAAAGGCTCCCCCCACATGTCCTCCTCCTGAAGCGCATTGCGGGAAGGGAGCTAGTGGTGGTCGTGCTGGTGCTGGCGCTGGTGCTGGCAATGGTCGTGGCACTGGCGGAAGTGCTGCAGTAGCAGTGCAGCAGCAGCAGAGAAGTAGTAGTAGTAGTAGTAGTAGTAGCAGCAGCAGCAGCAGCAGCAGCAGCAGCAGTAGTAGTAGTAGTGGTGTAAGTAGTGAGTAGCAAGTAATAAGTGAGAGTTGTAAGTCGTAGTAAGTCGCAAGTATGAAGTAGAGAGGAGTTGTTTGTAAGTAATTATTTGCAAATAATACTTCGGGATAAATCAGTTGTAAGCAGTCGTGCGTAGTAGTAGCGCTTAATCATAGTAGAGAGGAAGCAGAAGTCGGAAAAGTTTGAGAGTCCGTTGGTAGGCACTCGTTAGCACGTAGTAGTGGTTACGCAGTAATAAGTTAGCCGTACTCGTGTGAGTAGCATTGCTCAACACGCAGTAATGGGTGAGTAGGACTTAGTAAAAAGTAGTTGGTAGTCATTAGACCGCACTTAGTGGTCAGTAGCTTGTGAGCCAAGAAGGAAGCAGTTTCTTGTCTCCATTCGGGTGTGTGTTTGTGTGTGTGTGTGTGTTTTTTGAGGTACCCCTGTTTTTTGTTGGTGTTAAAGCGGAAACCAACATGAAAACCCACCATCTTTGGGGGTCCAAATCCTGAGAACGGGCACATCCCTTCAGACTCCGGCAAGCTTTTTAGGACGGGGCTTTTGTCGTGACGAGCTTTCCATCCCTTGCTTCAACCCCGGCTCCGTGATCGTCTGCTCGCCGCCATACTCGAAGATCACCGGGGAAGGCAGCAGCCAAACCTTCACCTTTGGACAAACGAACTTCCGCGGGGATACGGAGGGAGCAGGTCCCGATATGGGGGGATTCCAACTTGGCGCCATTTCCCATAAACTTAGGTGCATTTAGGGGGAATCCTCCCGTATCCCTGGTTTCCCCCTGTATCCCTGCTAGTTGGTTTAGGTTTACCATGTGTCCCTTGAGTCATTAGCCCCAGCCTAGCCTCTTTGGACCATCTGAAGAAATCACGCGGCATATCTGACCCTTCATCGGAAACAAAGGAACCTGCGGAGTCACACTGTATTCGCAAAAATGTGCGGGTTGATCAAAAGGTTCGATAAGATGACCTTTCCTGGTGGGAAACCGCGCAAAACAAGATTTGATATTTCAAACACATGGGAAAAGCTACTCATGGTCAAAACTGGGGGCCAAAAAAAGTATTGATCAACCCCCCGTCTCTACCAAGATGCAAGCTGACGAACTCCAAACCTTGCCAGAAAGCCAGGAGCCTTTGCCGACTGCGAGAGACATTCTTCTGCAAAATACGGCTTCAAGGCAGAAACTATTGAAAACTAGGCCTGCTTAATGCTGACCCCGTATTACTCAACCCCAGTTTATTAATAGGGGGTGTTCAATAGGGGGTGTTCCCCTCCAAAAGTGATGATTCCCCACTAAACCCAGGGCCACCCCCCTATTTATTCATAGATGGGGATGATGAATACGGGGTCAACGTTGCCAATCTCTCCCTGGATTCGAAATCGGCGCCCTCTTTGACTGAGCGAAAACTTTAAGGGTGCTTTTAAGATTGTTCCAGCCGTGACAATGGGCATACACTGATCGCTGGCATCTGAAACTTCCAATGTTTCGAGGAACCAGTCCATTTTTGCTCAGGATCATCCTCGGCTTTTAGGAAACATTCAGTTTCGGGAGCAGAACCAGCTCATAGGTGGGTTTATAAAACGAATCTCAACCAAACTAATCCGTCAAATGGATGCCTGCCTGAGTCATAAGGTACTAAAAGAATCTACCCACACGAATTTACAAGAATTGAAAAGGCGGAGATCTGCACCCATTTACGGCAAGGGGATTGTCCCTTATCCCCCAATCTACCCGAATCGGCTTTCAGCAAGTGGCCCACCTGAAAAGTTGGAACCCTTTAAAAAAACAAAAGACAGAGCACGTATTTGTCTGCTGGGCTCGGTGCCATGGCCAAAACCGACGCGCCCGTGGCTCGAGCCGCTCTCGCCGCCTGCGAGATGTCCCCCGAGCGATTCAGCTGGTAGTCGCAACGGAAGCGCAGCCTGGCGGAACGGTCGGAAGGCGCCAGGCCCTCCGACACGTGGGAGGCGTCGATGCGTGTGTGTGCGTGTGTGTGTGTCTCTTTTTTCTGGAGGATGCAATTACTAGGAATGACTGGTGATTTACCCACAAATTACTTGAAGTGGGTGATATGTGTCCCTTTTTTTCAGATCCCTGGCTGAAAGTGAAAGTGTTCGTGGCTTGGCTTAAACCCAACCACTGAACCCACTAAGATCTAAAAACCTAAGGGGGTGCAGCAAGTTTTGTGGTTTGAAAGGGAACCCAGTGAAGAAGTGCTGCTCTTCAAGACCAATCAGTTGTCCAAGAACCGCTCTGCTCGGAAGTTGGCCAAACGGGGGCTTCTTTGAGCAAAACCGGGGGTGGTCTCGTTCAGCCGTTCAGCACAAACCAACCGGCGCTCAAACTTGCCAGCTCGGCAGGGAGCCGGGCATGATGTTGTCCTGCCAGGCTCGGGCAAAGGAATTCTCCAGCTTCTTGCTCTCGAACAACCAAGTGGGTGGCTCATCTTTTTTTGAGGGGAAGACGCACCAAAGAATCACTGGAATGTACCCAAATGTACCAAGAACAATCTTGGGTCACTTGTTGCGAGAGGGGAAAAAAACAAACAAAAAAGCAACAAAAGAAAGAAACAAAACACGTCCTGAAAGAGCGGGACCTTTGTCGCGTCTCCGAACCACTGTACGCCCTTCCTGCCATCAGCCAGCGTGAGCTGAGTGCCAGCCGGTCGTCGAAAGCGTGGAACAAAACCGGAGGGATGTTTTTTCGATGTTTGATATGGGCTTGCCAGGAAACGTCTTGGTTGCTCTTGACCCTGCGAAAAGTTTAACTTTTTGGGGGTTTAGTGAAAAACATCTTTATTTCCCAAAAACATAAAGTCTAAAGATCCGAACCAATAGCAGTCAAGACGTCTTGGATTGTTTTTGCAGCCCCCCTACTAAACAGGAAGAGAACCAAGAAACCCTAAAAACCTAAAAAGACATGAACAACAACAGCGATGGTATCATCTTCACAAGCCAAAGATATCCGAAACCGCCGCCACCCTTCCGCCATCAGAGAAAGCTGGATGCAAATGTCAACTCGGCAGCACAGGCTACACACACTGCGGAGAACGCGAACCCACCTGCAGCCCAGCATCATCTGCTTTGGATTCTCGTGGACCTTGCATGCCCATGCGCACACAGCAGTGGAATCAGCGATGCAGCAACTTCAAATCTGTGTGAACCTGTCTGCCCTGAATGTGGCGTTCTTTTTTAGTTTCTCAGAAGGCAAACGGGCAGTCAGGGTTACATTTTTTGACTACCCCAAAGTAGACTTTAAGCCAGGGGTCCCAAAAAAATGAACTCTTGTTTAAGTCGGGCTAGTCAAAAATTCAACCCTGCGGGCCATGGTGCTACGCCGACCTTTTGATAGAGCTAAGGCAACGGCATGTTGTTCCGGCAGCCATCCCCCAGGCATCTTGTCCTGTGTTGTGAGATTTGAATGTTTGGACCCTGTGGGCCATGGGTGTGTATTTTTTCGGGGGTCGGCTTCCTGTTGGCTGGTCCCCCTTAAACCCAAACTCACTGAAAACAAACATCGCCCTCAAAAAAAGGACACGCCCACATGGCTACATGGATAGATGTCCAATCACTTTTGAGGGGTTCAACCCTTGCACATCCTCGGCATGGGACTTCACCTTCATGAACTCTGCCAACGTCTCAGCCTGTCGCACTTGGACCCAAATGCAAGGCTTCAACTGCTGCGTAACTCATGTCACTTGAGGAGCTGGGGTTTATACTTCAGCTCACCTCCAAACCAAACCAAATGGGTGCCTCATCATAATGGCCATGGACCACAAACTAAAAAGATGACTCCACTTTAACCCCAAGTCCGCGCCTCTGAGCTCTCTTTGGCGTCCTCCTGGAGACGAGTTCTCAGCTCGACTCCTGTGACCGCAACGAAGGCACTCCTTCCGCGCTGCGACCCACTCCACCAGCCCGACGTTCACGTAGCCTGACGCGAAAGCTGAGCTAAAGCATCAAGGATTTGGGGCCCAGACAGTGCGGTTTCCCTTGCTTCCCCTGACCAGCTCAAAGGCACCCTTAGAAAAAAACACGCGCACAATAGCTTCCGCTGCCCGTAGGCAGAGGCTCGAGTTTCGCCCTGAGGGGTGGGCTCACCCCGGAGGTGAGCGCCGTCAGTCAGTTCGTGTTTCAGACAGGCTCTTATAGAGGCTTCTTTATAAAGGTGTTACAAAGCTTCCTTATAAAGCTTCCTACTAAAGGAGCCTTTATAAAGGAGCCCTTATAAAGTGTAGCAAGAGTGCTTCCGGAGTATCTTTCTGATCCGGGATCAAACACTCAAGCGGGAATCCAGCGGTCAGTCAGGGAAGTCCTCATGGGACTCCTGCGCAGCTATGGTGGTACGTCACAAAGTCCTTGGACCCTCACGACGGCTCCTTTGACAGAACAACCTCCGAGATTCACGCTAGTTTTTGCTGCCCGTTAGCAGAAGAGGCGGCTCGACTGATGCCTTCGTAAAACATTTGGAGTTTCGCCCTCCCTCCAGGGGTAGGCTCATCAAAAGGATGCCCCCCACAGGTTCTCCTTGACTCCGTTTGGAAACCAAGAAAAGGTCTGAGTTCATCATTTTGATGTCTGAGTCAGGCGTATTGGCCTCAGTTTACAGGTGATACACGCACGCACAAATACTACTACTGGTTCACGCGTAGAATCCTTGCTCTCGCGCTCGTGGATGTGCACACTTTGTGCCCTCTCATCTTCACTTGCTCTCTTCCCGAAAGGCGCCGAGGAAAAAACTGACTTCTGAAAACATGGTCCAAGCAACTGGTCCGAGGGATAACAAAGGCGTGGTACCCCCGCCAAAATTCAAGTCTGCTCAACCTATCAAACCCACTTAGCTCCAAATCTTAGTTTTAATAGATCCCCTCAAACAAATGCGTGGGCAATCCGCGAAATGTCCAAAGGACCCATGAAAATGCATAGCCATAGGTGCCCTTTTGGAAAATTAGGTGGCCCTGGTAAATGAAATAAACCAATCTAAACCAGTGCCATCTATTTCTAGTCAAACTCACCGATGAAAAGGACGCCTAGGTACATACCCGATGCAAATGGGGTTTCTCATTTCCGGATTTGGATCTACTGTGGATGGAGAAAAATATATTCCCCACATTCAGCCCATGAAAAACCGTTCTTTGTGGGTATTTACAAGGGAATCATCAGCAACCAGGGCTTCTTCGCCGGTGAGAAAATGGATTTTGTCCATCCCCAGTATGGTCTGATATGGGAACGAATATACATAGAAATCCAAAGGCTTCGGGAAAACACTTGGGGCCCAGGCAGTGCTCGGACTTCTCCACCGCCAGCGCGAAAGAAAAGCTGGGCGGAAGGCTGGACGCCGTCTTCGGAGGGTACACCCATTTTGGCTCAAAAAGGAAGCTAAAGGAAAACCACCATGTTTTAGTTATGTGTCTTCCGTATTTTTGTGCGCTCTTTCTCGTCTTCCTTTGTCCTTCTCTTTTCTCTTTTTTCTTTGCGGGGGGGGGGGGGGGGATTGTGTTGTTGAGACACACCCAAATAAAAGCCTGGGTTCAGGTTCCCTTTTGGCTTGGTTTGGCGGTTTGGACCTTCCCCAGTGATTTCTGTTTTCCGGTTTGATGATATGGGTGTGTTCAGGTAACGCTTGATTGGTGGTTGGGATTGGTGGTTGGGATTGGTTGTTTGAACATTTGAACCCTACACTCAAAGCTGGTTTGGGACACCCTTTGCTCACAAGCGAGAGCTGTTGGGGAATCATGGTAGTTCATCTTGCCACCCCAGGATTCAGCGTTTCCGGAGTTGGACTCGGGATGACGTCACAAAACATTAAAATCATGTACAAGGTGAAGACATAATCTTCAGTGTTCGCCCAGTTGGCTCAGGCACCACACTTTCACGATTGGAAAATGGAATGGACTATATTCATGCAAGGGTGTTGACCCATGATGTGCGTTGCTATCCGCAGGATTCATTCTAGTTTCAAGAGCTTGCGGGTGTGTAGGGCATATATGAATGCCTTTGGTGTGTCATCAACTTTGTCTCCAGAGGCTCCAACCTGAATAAAAACTCACTGCGCTTTCTGATGGCGGCCTTTTTGGCGTTGGCGAATAAAAAGGACGCCATCAGGAGAACGGCCATGTTGGGGTGCCACTGCGTCACATACAAAAAACTCGGGCGCCATTTTTTGGCCTTTCAAGGCAATCCTTCAAGGACCAGCCGCGGGAAATTCCAGGGGTACCTTCCAATTCCATTCTTTCCAGGGATCCGAATCTTTCCAGAGAACCTCCCGAAACCCAGGGGAAAACGGATCCGGTGTTTGAACAGAACGAGGATTGACACGGTCTAGAAACCCTGGAGAAAGAATCAACCCCTGGTTGACGATGGTTTTTGAATCAACCCCTGGAAAAATGGATCCCCGCCCACTCGGACCTGAGCAAACACATCCCATCCAATGGCCTCGCCGAGGGCTTCCCGCCAGCCTCCCGACAGGCCAAAGCTCATCTTCCGCTGCGTGCGGGGTTTATCCAACGAAACCACCCAACCACCCAAACAAAAAAAATATCTTGCGAATCATCAGCAAACCTCAAAAACAAGAAAGCATCCATGCGAAACCCTGGGCCGCGGCCTGGCACGCGACGATGCTGGGCTCCATCCTGACGGCTTAGCGTCGCAGAGAAAAAATGAGAAAGGATCTGGCGTTGTGAGGAAACCGAGCAAAACATGGATTTCGGGCTTTGTTTTTGGGGGTTGTGTGAGTGGTTTCTGTTTGGGTGTCCCTTTCGGATGTTGAGTCAAAAATTGTTTTTGCTTTGAGGATGTGCTTCTGGTTTTGTCGCTGAACCCTGAAAAGGGTACGCTGCAAAGAAACCGGAGGGAGCCTCTTGGTTGGTTTTCCCCGCTCCTTGAAACAGGGATTCCCCCGCCACGCACGCTCAAAACTGTGCAGTCGGGGGTGCGAGTTCGGCGGATGGCAGGAAGTCTTCAGCCAAGCTCCCAGGATTCCTCCGGACCATCATCCTTTCCGATGGCTCAGCCTGGGCTCTTTGGGCCTTCGACCCCTCGGCTTCCCCTCCCCTAGACCCCACATCAGTCCACAAACCTGCCTGATGGTTCGGAAGTCCTGCGGGCCCTTCATGGTGACGCGGCAGAACCTCGTCCAGGAAACTCATGTGGCCGTGGGTCAAAAACCAAAGCTTTTTGGTAGCCTCCAGTGAACATCCGATTCAAGCCAACCACTCAAATAGGTTCCAAAATGGGTGGTGAATTCACCTACCAACCAAAATGGTACCAAAACGGTTTTGACCCACAGCCATCAGGGTTTCACCGCCGGCCTAGATGCAGAACCAACCCAGGACTCAAGACCAATTGCAACCAAAGAAAGCTACGAACCAAATGGACTTCAACTGTCTCAATCGGACAAATTGGATCAAGGGACAGGACCGAGCTTGTCAAGTCCGAATGGACTCATTGTGCCTCCCTCGAATGTCGCCTGCAAGCTTCCCCAACGCGTTTGATCAGGGTTCTTGGAGCTATGCACGAACTGGAAAGGTTGGAACAACTGGTTTCGACTGGAACGACTGCGTTCAACTGGATCTTCAAGTTCACTTTCAACAAATCTGGCGTGGGCTGCAATGCGGCTGTGGCTAGGTTGCACAGACCTCTTGCAGATTCAAACACACGAAAACAAAACTTAGGTCTTTCCAGGGATCATGAATTTTAGGAAGCGATCTAAACTGAGGGGTGGGGTGCGGGGGGGGGTTCTTCAGAAGAACGCTGGGTGACAAAAAATTAGAGATGTCCGTCCTGAGCTCCCGCGCTTGGAGTACTCCTGGCCTAAGCCCTCATGTAGGGCGTCCGCCTGCCGTGCACGCTGGGCCAGGTGGCAGGCTCAGCATTGTGATCCTCCAATGGCTTGAGTCCCCAACAGCTAGCCGCTGAAGGTCTAGGATTTGTCTGCTCGTTGCGTCTCAGACTTCAGTTCTTCACCTTGCACCTGACCTGCACCAGAGCACCGGACCACCCGGAACCTCCGGAACCTTCCTTGAACCTTTTGCCTGGCCTGCACCGGACCACCCCGAAACCTCCGGAACCTTCCCTGAACCTTACACCTGGCCTGTGACGGACCACCCGCCGGAACCTCCGGAACCTCCGGAACCTTCCTTAAACCTTACGCCTGGCCTGCACCGGACTACCCCGGAACCTCCGGAACCTTCCTTGAACCTTACGCCTGGCCTTTGAACCTTACACCTGGCCTGCACCGGACCACCCCGGAACCTCCGGAACCTTCCTTGAACCTGGAACCTTCCTTGAACCTTACACCTGGCCTGCACCGACCACCCCGGAACCTCCGGAACCTTCCTTGAACCTTACACCTGGCCTGCACCGACCACCCGGAACCTGCGGAACCTTCCTTGAACCTTACACCTGGCCTGCACCGGACCACCCCGGAACCTTATCTGGGCTGAGATCCCTTAGCTTCCAGCTGTTGGGGAAAAATATTTCCAGTAGTGATAGTTTCCCTTTAAAACCAACAGGGGAAAATAAAACATATTCTTAACCAAATGGAAGTAATATGTGTGTGTGTGTGTCTTTTTCAAGGCTACAGGCTACCCTTTTAAACTTAGGTTTGCCACTTTGGCGGGTCCCCAAAGTCTGACACACAACGTGGCGACCATTCTGTGTGGCTCCCGAGCAAGCTCCTGAGTCTCTTTTTCCCCACGCGATGGCGATTTCCCTCCGATCAGCGTAGCCTTGGTCAGGCTGCCCCGTTCGGGCATCCAAACCTCGGCTAAGCAGACCCGGCCCCTTTCGCTCGGCAAAGCCCCCTTAGTGCATTTGGGAGCCTGGCTCTCTCACCTGCACCAAGCAGGTCACTCTGCCCACGGGCACGCACGGTCTGGAGATCGAACCGTGCGGGATCCAAACTGCCAAAAGCTCATGTCTCCTTGAGGAGACCCGCGTGGGAGCCTCCGCTTTGCACCGCAGGGCCCGATGGCATTGGCGCTTGTAAAAAAAAAGACACGAGTTCAGAGGCAAAGCGAAGGGAGCATGCAGGCCACACCCCGGGAGCTGGTTGCGGCCGAATTCGACTCCGAATGCGAAGCCAATGACTCAGCGCCTTGCGCACCTATCACTCGACTGGCCTCAGAGTACGCTCCTGGCAAGGGTCCAATACCTGCGCTGAAACCTGGTCCCAAGTCACCAAGGGAGGCTGTCAGGCTTACCCAAAGCACCGAATATCAATGATCTGCATAAGATAAGGATGAATTGTTGACTTCTGAATTCTGACTGATCATGTAGCATGGGCACTGCCAAAGGCTTCTTTCCGCGCCGGCCTGACGCTGCAAGGTCAGTCTCCGTGTAGTTTGCAAACCTGGTCGATCACTTCCTGCGTGACACCCAGCAGCCAATCTCACACGCACCAAACTGGGCTGTCCTCAAATCCCCCGCTAAAAGTTTAACGTTTAGGAATGGAAATCCCCACTAAACACCAAAAAGATAAAAGCCTAGGGGGTTGGCTGGGAACAACTAAGGAAAGCTTAGCAAAATTGAAAGCACCCCCTTTCTCAAAACTGTGAGCCATGTTTCGAACTATATGCCACGTCGAGCGGCCAATTAACAACTTTGCCAAGCCCCGCAAGCGAATGAAGGAGATCCGGTCCCGGCAGATGGGGCAGGTATCGCCAGCGCGCTGCAGGCGCTTGGCGCAGGTGAAGCAGGTGCTCTGGTGACACCTGGGACTACGAAACTTCACAGCAACATGCCCTCACCCTGGTTTGGCATGAAACATGCTTTTAAAACAACCACGTTGTTTTTAAGAACAAACACTTTGCCCATAACAGGCAAACTACGCCCCCAACATGAGCGACAAAAATCAAAACCCATCGGTATCAAAATGGTCCCAGAACCATGCAAAGAATGGAACAGGCGGAGATCCGCACCCATTGGCTGGGATTGTCCCTACCTGCCAAGCTGGCGCAAAGCCGCCGCCAAAAGCCACAAGCAAAACTATGGGCCCTGTTGATGGACTCCACTGAACACCAGCTGATAGGTGGTGAGTCCCCTTAGATTTCTGGTCCTTCCATCGCAGAGTTGCGCTTATCCATCAGTGGGTCCCTTTGCCACGGCGTTTCAAACGGATGGCTTCCATTCACAAAACAGGGGCCGGTTCCTCTGTCATGTTTTGGCCCAAGAAGGGCAGCAAGAGGCAAAACCCAGCCGCTTTGGCCCTGCAACTCAGGTCGCTAAGCCCGGTGGATTCCCACAATCGGGGGTGAATCGTTGCAATAATTGGAGAATAGACGGGGGGAGGGGGGGCTTCAAGACCGCTGCATGATTAGGATGGTCTTCACATCTGCATTTTGACCAGAAGAATGTGCAACGCTAGCTCCGATGTGATGTCAGCGGCCTAGGTATCTTCTTCAGAGGAGGCACGTACGTTATCCTCTTGCACGTGGGCTGGATCAACAAAAAAGGCTTGCTCAACCAACGATACTACGCACATAGAATATGAACACCTCCAACATACTAAACGAGGATGTTTTCTGAAAATAAAGCAAGAACATCTGGCGACAACGGACCTCTTTTCATCCTCCGAACCCGGTGCAGTTGTTGGCCCCCGGCGTCTCGCCGTGGACAATGACGCCATTCGGCCTCGGAGGAGTTGGCAGAAAAGGAGCGGGCGCGGGCCTGAGCATGCTGAGCGCACCAGTCAGCTGCTATGGGTTTCCAAAAACTCACTGTTATCTGGGAAGAAAGCCGACTCAGATTTGAGTGGGGATGATTCGCCAGTTGAAAACACACGCAATTATTCTTGCACATCACAGCCGTGATTGCGCCAGCCTTTGACATCTCAGAGACGCTGAAGGATGGGAGGCTTCTTGGGCGTTGGCTCCGCCATCGGCGCAGTCATAGGCTCATTTAGCGCACATGTAGCACAAGCATTGCCAAATGGCCAACACAATGGCCGACACGCACAAAAGTCACAAATCGCTACAGGAGCCTCAACACTCCGTTCCAAAAGGCGACCATTCGCTCGGCTGGGTGCTGTGCTTTGCATCCATGCAAATGACGCCTCGGAGTTCGAAGTCGACCCAACAGAAGATGGAATCAGACCGGAGGGGGGGGGCAATAGCCCATGGCGCGTTTGGGGGAGAGGTTGGATCTCTTGCCTGCCTGAAGGTCCCTGGCTCTCTACACTGTCCCCAACCCAAAAATTGTCAGAGGTCTCTGGAGAATTCCCGCGATGTTCAGTTTGCTCTTTGGGGATTTGCAGCCTGCGAGCTGCTGCACCTTCGTTTTTCCCCGTCCTGTCCATTGTGTGAATCTGTCACTCTGAATCCTGCTTGGCCTCAAAGACCTCCAAGTGGCCACGAGTCTCTCACCATGCGGGTGTGTCTAAAAAAGGGGGGACCCCAAAAAATTATAAGTGTCCTATTGGCTTCCCTTTAAAGCCACCCCAAAAAGGGTTTGCCTCAAAGAAATCCATGCAGCCAAGGCTCATTCACACACCGCAGTCGTGGGCGAGCCCGAGCCGACTTGGCCTGGGACTGGAATTCACAAGCAATGTAAGCCAACCAACCCCTGTCCATATGTTGCTTCTGTTTCTGATTGGCTGTTTCCCTTTAATCACTTGAAGGGTGACTTTGATCACCCCCATGTGCGTGTTCGCCCCCTGGAAAAAGCGAGACATGTGTCCAACAGTGAAGTCGATTCCCTTTAAAACCAACACGGGATATTCTTTCAAAAAAAGAAAAGAAAAGATATTCTTAAGCAAATGGAAGATAACCTGGTTATAAGCAACTAAGTACTCGCCGCATTATTTGACCACCAAAGTCAGCCCTATAAAGAGAAACAACCCCAGCTGCTGACGTGGCTAACTCCCAGAAACAGTCAACACAATGACCCCAGAAATAGGCCGGGCATCCAAGTAGCAGCCTCTTGGGAGGTTCGTGCTGTGACGGCACCGATTTGGAGCTGGAAAGTTGGCAATTGAGCCGGCTGTAAGTAGGTGGGCTGTCAATGGTTTCCCTTTCAAACCGCCAAGAGTGCCTTGTTTATCGCTGATCACAAACAAAACAAACTGTGCCTTCACTTGCCGGTGCTCAGGGAGCGACCGAGTCCGGGTTGTGAATGAACCGTCTGGGGATTTCCTTTAAGGAAACCACAAGGAATGGCTTTTCTCCGGGTCCTTCCATTTCTCATTCCCTGCCTATCGAACCAGCAAGGAAATGCGTGATACAGGCATATATATATATATACATATCTAGCGTTTTTTGTTTCAGGAAGAACCCCTTTTGGGTTGGCTTTAAAGGGGCACCAAAAGGAACAACCCCCCGATTTGGGGTCCCCATCACTCCCCCCATCGAACCTGCGCCCTCGGGGCTGCGGCGCGCGGCACGCTGCTTGGACTCGAAGGAGACGACTTCGGTCTGAGGAAGCGCTCGTTCGCTCGGGGACCCCCAAGTCGGCGACGAGTTGTTTATATATATATATATATATATATATATATATATACATTCCTATGGTGTATGACGCAACACGAACGCACAGCTCTCTCGCACTTCTTTTATAGCGGGTGCAATCCTTTGTCATGGTCAACCTCGAACTCCGAGGATTTGCCTTGGTATGCTCCAGTGAGCTAAGGTAGGGCACTGAGTGGGCCCCACTCAGACCCCCCGTCAGCTTCCCCACTGCCGGCGTGTATGGCTGACAGGGTAAACATGCCTCCCAGCATACTGGCTGGCAGGAGAAAAAGATATAGGGGGGGTAGCCTGGACAACCATCGCACAACCTCCCGGTGTGGGTGCCAGGCTACGTCCCGACCATCGGGAGCCCTACCTCCGCGTCCCCTCTGTG